TGTTCCTAAGACTTCAGCCAGTGCCCTGAAATTTGGTGACCCTGGTTTCAAAGAGTCATTACAACATGCATTTGTTGGAGGGCTTTGTAATTTGGTTATTTCCTTTTTAGTGCAGAGAAAAGCACAGGGAGGTCTGCCAAGTTTCACATTTTCGCTTGGAAAAGAAAAGAAAAATTAGTCTGGGTGCTTCTTAATTAAAGAAAATGAAATGCTTTTACTTCCAGTTCTTTTATATATGTAGTGTGATGCTACATCCCTTCTTGCCTATTTTCAGAGAGCAGAAAATGGAGGAAAGAAGAGAGGTGACTACCAAAGGAAGCAACCAAAAGGAACAGGCCATCTCAAAGACTCTGGGTGTAGAGGAGGAAATGTTTTCTGGCAATTACAGAGCATGCATCCCCACAGAAACCCAGTGTGTTTCCCACAGCTCAGTGTCTTTGAGACCACCCTTTCTTTCCTCTTGCATTGTTTACAAGAAGCACACAAGGCTGTATTTTTCCAACAATATTGTCCTGCCCCCACTACCTGCAGCCAAGAGGTAGGGAAATTCACAAGAGTATGGCAACGTGTCATGCATTGTCTTCTAGCAGAAAAGGAAAGATGGGTCTGAATCCAAAGCCATGCTAACAGGCATCCACCAATGCAACAGGACTCTTCCCTTCCAATTCCTTGGCAGTCATCCCTACTGCCTAAAAGTATGCTTGAGCAAGGGTTGTTCTCAGCCTTCCCTCAAGCAGAATTTTGAGGACTCAAGGGGGGTCTACAGGGAGACCACCAACCTTCTCTTCCTCTTGATGGAAGTCGTTCCATCGGTGGAATTATCCCATTGCCTCCCCCCCACCTCAAGGAAAGGCATAGGCCCTATTCAAGCATTTTGGAGAACATGTCATTCATGATGGGAATGCAAGCATGCACATAAGCCTGCCCCCTTGGACATCCCTATCACCTGGACAGGTACTAGACCTTTGTGAGTCAAACCCAAAGTATAAGTGCACGACCTTTGTAAGTGCACGAGGCTGAGCAGGCTTACAAAGCTTTTGAGAACAGAAACTCTTTTCAAATTTAGCATGTGGACATCTCTAACATGTCTGCCAGTCTGAGATGTCTGGGGGAAAGTCTGGGGATGGGGCTTATGTACAGCCCCACACATCCACCACAATTCCAGCCCTTTGTATATTTCCCTAAATGCTTGCATAGGGCTCTAGTGCAGTGAGTGTAAGAGAGTAAGTAAAAAGGTATGCATTCCCGTTTCCATGGTTTGGAAACACAGAACATATTTCTAAGCCTTGGGTGGACAGGAGAATGTACATAGTAGAGTAGATATGTGGGTGGAACCTCGGTATGTTATAATGCCTTCTCTGTTGTACTGCCAAAGCTGCCATTTCTGGTCTAGTTTGGTTTAATCTATCCACAAGCAAACAGATCTGAGAGGTATCCTACTTTCTAACTTATTTCTTTATTCTTTCATTCTATAATTTCTATGCTGCCTTTCTCCCCTAAAGGGACTGAAGGTAGCCCAGCATAACTAAAGTGCAAGAAAGATTAAAAGCACAACAAACTATGCAATTCAAATAATTAAACATACTATAATATAAAAACAGTCATCTGAAAAAAGGAAGAACCTTAAAAACACATTTGAAAGCTCAAGCAAAGCCTATTTTTATTATTAGACAGGTTGTGTGGATAGAAAGTGCAATATCTCAAAGAAGCACTTGATGGCAGTAGATGCACAAGGAAATTAACTAAGATGGCTGGCAACAACTGAGAGAAAAATAAAAATTTTACCAGATTCCGTAGAAGCTGTAAGATAATGGATAGTATGAGGAACTGTAAGAAGCTGTGGTTTCTATTATTCATTAGAGAGGGAGTGTGTGTGTGTTTTTAAAGGAGAAACACGACACATCTACTTAAAATGTGTACAAAGATGTTAGCTCTTTCTGTTGTTACAAGAGGAACAATACTATCAGTTGAGAAGCAAAAGCCCCTTTGTCTGGAAGAAAATTGCGAGGGAAGAACTGTAAATCTGTGTCTTCAAAAATCTCAACAATTTAATGTGTTTCCTTTCAAATGAACTTGATGCTGTTTAGTGCAATTGATTGCTTCTAATTTATATGCAGGCAAATAGTTTGACTGGGGCTGG